GGAAAGAGGCAGGGGCCCTGCTACTGGACGCTGGGTGGGTTTGGCCACAAGATATTTACAACAGGGCCGGCTGACGCCATTCCAACAGTCCCAGGTAGGCATCAAGGGAGACCACAGCAACCTCAGGGCCCAACAGTCCCAACAGTCTTGTGCCAAGATTCGTCTATACCCAAAATGAAGGGCGTCCCATCCTTCCAGTACAGAATGGTGGAACAGAAGGAAAATTCTTAGATTTTTAACACATCAAACAACTAGTAAATATGTCTAAAAGTCTGTAGAATATTGGGTACTATTCTACAGACTTTCTTCCCCTACTCACCCTATTAACAATCAAAAGAAACCAGTAAGAAAAATAATAAAAGAGAACAACAGAGCACTCACAGGAGCCAACTTGAGGTCCTGCAGAATGTCATCAAAATAGTGAAACTCGGTTAATTCCAGTTCAACCATTTCATGCTTCAGCTCCAGGATACGGCCCATCACGCCATCCAGTATCTTCCGGATCAGTGCTCGTTTCTGTGGATGGACCATCTGGTCATAGACGGTCTCCAGGTTTCTAAAGATCTGCACATATTTTATGTAGAAGGTGGCTAACATTTGGAAGAAGTAAACTTGATTTTTTTGTGTCTCTATCATCTTCTGAGACTCTTTATCAAGCAAAGAATTGAGGGCTTCTTGGGTCTGATGCCACATCTTGTTATACATTCTGAGGGAAGAGGGAATTTAGAAAATACAGGGTATAAATTACTTTGTAAGTACACATATTCGGCATCTGCTATAACAAAATATAACACACGATCGAGTATGAGCTAAGAACAACGTATGTATTTGCAAAGCTCTTTAGACAAGTTTTGCCCCATTTTGATATATGTGTGATTTCTGAATATAACTACTTCCATTATTACCAAATAGTTTTAAAAGCCTTTTGCCTAAGTGGTATAAAGTTGTTCCTTACTATACCCATAAAGCCGGCATTATTAATATTATATCCATTTAAAAGATGAAGTAGTTGTTATCCAGAATAGTTAACTGGTTGGTCCATGTACCCAACTAGTGGAGTATAAATTGGCACAATCACTTTGGAAAATAATTCAGCATTATCTTATGAACTTGAACATGTGCATACCCTGCGAATGAACAGTTTTGTCCTAGAGAAACTCCTGCATACATGCATCAAGACAGATCACAGTAGCATTTTGTATAATAGCAAAAACTTGGAGACAACCAATGTCTCCCAAACAGAGAGCAGGCAAATAAACCTGCATATTCACAGACACAGCACGGGCCACCACACAGTGGAGGAAGATGAACGAAGGGACGATAGGGGACGGCAACAACTGCAACTCTCAGAACCACGACGCAGAACATGCAATGCAGGCTGTGGCCTGGGAAGAGCCCTGTGGACCACACTTGCTGGGCCCCCATGATCTCATTCCAGTGAGCTGAGTCAGTGGACGGGACCGACAGGGCACCAGAGGGTGGGAGGAGAGTGTGACAGGGGCCGCACCCTCCTGCTCCCTCCTTGGGAGGCAACAAGGGCTGGAGAACCCTTTTACTCCAGCAAGGCTAAGGGTGGTGACAGCCCTGCTGTGACTGCTTCCCAGTCTCTCTCCACACCTTTGCTGCCCGTCCCCTTATTACACCTGGATAAGTGTCCCTCTCTTTCCTGCCTTGACCAATGTGGCACAGAGGTTTCCCAAAAATTTCAGGTGACTTTGGCTCTCCTTCTACATTCAAGAACCAGCTGACACATGAACTGAAGCTCAGTGTGTCTGGGAAGGGGCTTGGCCTCAGGGGCAGTGCAGAGCCCTGACCACTGATCTCCCTGCCACCAGGGAGAAGCCCACCAGTGTTGGTATCAATCTATGAGGTCTTCTCTGTGCTGAGGGGAGAAGGTGATGCCACCCCCTGTTAGTAAAGCAAGTGGGACCAGGCCTGAGGACACTCATCTCCCCTTTGCTGTCAGCCGGGCTCTCACTCCCACACTTACCTATGCGGGGTGTCCCTGAGTCCAGTTGCCTGCGTGTGCTATCTGCTGGGCTGGGAGCAGCCTAGTCACCACTCACACACCTCTTTGGGTATAGTGATTGGCAGCCTTGCTGTACCAAATACAGGTCTGCATGAAGCCCTCCAAGTTCAGCCCTACCTCAAAGGCCCAGGCCCCTGCCCTCTTCCAGGGCACCACTGGCCTTCCATTCCCTGTCTGCTGGCCCCTGGGTCCTGGTCTCCACCCTTCCCCTATCCCCTCTCACTGGGGTCTACTTTCCCTCCTCCTGGGTTTCTTCTCAAATGCTCCAGCGTGCTCTTTGCCCCCACTGAGTTCACAGGCGTTTAAATCCTTTTTGCCATTTCAGAGACAATTCAGGAGGAAGGGGAATTAAGAGAACATCTGTTCCACCTACCTTGTTAGACTTGTAGTCCCTCACCTAACTTCCAAGGTCATGACTAAGATTCCCCTCCAGGGCCCCTCCGCTCCAGGCCCACCACCTGCTGATCCTCAAATGTGCTGCAGGCATCCCTACGAAGGCTCATGGCAACCCTCACTGATCTATTTTATAGCATGACATGAGCCATCATTTATTAGAGCCCTGGCCACATGTGCTTTTTTCATCTTTCTGGCCAAAATTTAACAGCATAGCTTGATGTGAAAAGCCTTTTAGATTCAGAAGCTGAGGAGCAGGATGACGGTAATAGTCTGTATTTATACACTGTCAGTCACTGTTCTCAGTGCTGTACACATAATAATTTGCACAATCCCCACAATAACACTGCAAGGAAGGTCTAATTACTACCCCAGTTTACAAATGGGAAACTGAGGCACGGAGCAGTTGCTGCCCAAAGTCATGTGATCTGGGTGCAGGATTTGTGCTCTCAATGCTGGCTCCAGAGTTCATGCTCTGAACCAATAAACTTTATCTCTGCCCTTCACTGGAAGAAAGCAAATGAAGAACATATGTGATGAGACAAGAAAACAGAGACTGGCCAAGGATATAACAAGGAAAACTCCTCATTCCCTCCCGAAGTCAGGAGATCGAGTTCTGTGTTTGGAATTCCATCCCCAATATGTTCAAGGACCAGATTTCTCAAAAGTTAGCAATATTTAAAAGATATCACTAGTGAAAAAGCCCTCTGGCAGACAGCTTTGTTAAGAAAGAGAAGGTTATTTTCAGAAAATTAGAATGCCACGCCGTAGCACAGGGCACTCACTCCTTGCTTAATTAGTGATTAATAAACTATGTTAGTGATCAACAACAACCATTTCTAAAAAGAACAACAATGAAAGCAACATCGTACGCCTGCTCAAAGCCCTGGGATGCTTTGGCATCCTGCTTGCTGAGCATCAAGGAAACAAGCAAGGAGGAGAGGGCTGGAAGAAAGAAGGCGATGAGGGAACAGATGGGCTCTGTACAACAATAAATAGCAGCTTATCGAATACCTGCTTAGAGAATGCGAAGTTGGGAAGGGTATGAAGAAGGTGTGTGTGGTGTTGGTTTGCCAAAGCCCGACTCCTAGCATCCAAGAAGGGTCAGTAACCCAAGGCACTCACGGGTCCGAGCACCGGCTGAACATACTAACGGGCTCCCCACTGTTAACATAAAGCATAGGGCTCAATTTGGTCTGTGGACTAAAGCGGGTTTGGGGCCTAAATCTGCCAGGACAACATTAAAGAGGAAAATTAGAGGCTAATTTTTGTTTAGAACTCAGATCTGGGCTCG